AGTTTCCATGCCTCTCTGGATCTCACTGCTTTCCCTACAAGCTGAGAGCACTATAAATTATAGGACACAAACAGTACTTAAAACCCAGAGCAGAGACAGAAAAGTATCATATTATATCTCTTACATTTGGAATCTAAAAAAAAGAAAAAAGACGAACTTGTTTACAAAATAGAAACAGACTCACAGACCCAGAAAATAAACTCATGTTACCAGAGGGGAAGGGGGTGGGAAGGGATAAATTAGGAGTTCGAGATTTGCAGATACTAACTAATATACAGAAAATAAACAAGAAGTTCATACTGTATAGCACAGGGGACCATATTCAATATCTTGTAGTAACTTATGGTGAAAAAGAATTTGAAAACGAATACATGTATGTTCCTCTATGACTGAAATATCGTGCTGTGCACCAGAAATTGACACTACATGGTAAACTGACTCTACTTCAATAAAAATTTAAAAAAAAGAAACCCAGTGCAGAATTATGGGATAAATTAACTAAGCTATTATTTCTAACAGTTTCATTATTTATACAAAACAAACATAAAGATCTTTATTCTGAAACCATTACTACAGAAATACAAAAAATAACTCTCTGATTATGTACATTTTCTGTTAATGGAAATCTCACAGTATTGAAAAGTTGTAAGATATTCGTAAAGTACTGGTAATGAAGCATCAGGTAATAATACAGAAACCAATTTTTTTTTTTACATGCAGCAATGTTTAGGGACTGTCACAGGTGGGAAAAAAAATGCTTTAGTCAATGTCACCATGGTAAAATAGCCTCTATTTATTGAGAATTTATTATAACAAGACACAAAACTAGGTACCTGCTATTTATTACCTAATTTAAATTAAAACAGGATGCTCAGATGCTGTCTCGGAGTTTTTAGCAGAGGCCCCTGAATCATGGACAAAATACTCTGTGGCTGAACTTGCTGAATTTTCACACAGAGCATGTGGACGCCCCTCCCTAAGGCTGTGGGAACGTCTCACCCTGGAGCCTCCAGGGTTGGCAGATCAGATCATTCACCTCTGATCTCTCTAACCCTGGGGAAGAGGAAGTTGTGGAGAGGACGCGAAGACAATTTGGGGAGGATTTCTTTGGAGAGAATTGTCAATAGGCTACTCTTTTCCCTTCACAAGTCAGGGGACAGAGCCTGCTCTTCCAGACTTTGGAAGGACCAGAAGTGCCTGCAGTCCCTGTGAGTCAGATACGGGCCTCATGGAAGAGGGAACATTCTGGGTCATCTTAAAAAGGGACTCCCTCAAGTCAACCTCCTGGAGGGATGGGATAATCACAGCCCAGAGTCGAGGTCAGAAGCCAGAGAGCTGCAGGACTGTCCAGCCAGAGGAGGACCTGATCTCACAAAGAACAAAAAGGCTGAATTCGGGGGTCACAGGCAGCTGGGGTGAGGGGAGCTCTGGCTCTGAGGAACCCACCAAAGCATCCTCCAAGAGAAAGAGCCAGTAATCGGGCATCCGTCATTAAAGGATGCTGACACCAGACTCCAACTAGTCCGGTCAACTTCTCCTGCTCTCTGTCCCCTCTTCCTTCCACCCTGGCCTTTGATCCGGGACCGGCCACACACAGCAGTGAGCGTGGGAAAGGAGGTGCCGTGATGAAGTGAGAATTGGATTTGCCCCCTTTCACCACTCAGGCTCCAGAGCCCAGGATGAAGGAAGGAAGATGTTTTAATTTGGAAAGGGGTGTGTTGCTGGACATTACAGTGGACTTGACATTTTGATACTTGGAAAAGGAGAACATTTGTTTCTTCTGAGCGAAAGGAAAAACTCTTAGACCTGTCTGTGATGGCAGGGAGCGGCAGGAAAGGCTGGAATAACACAGCAGCATTTTGAAGGGGCAATAATGAAAGTGAGTAAGGCTGCCTCCTGCTTCTGTCCTGTGAACATCAGCTCCTTTACGAAACTGGTCACAAAGCTTCGGCAGGTTTGGCATTATTCTCCCTGGCTTATCGGTTGAGTTAAAAGACAGTCCTAAACAACCAGGGCCTACTGTCAGGCACAGGGAACTAGACCCAATTTCCTTTAAGAACCTGTAATGGAAAAGAACCTGAAATGTGTGTGTGTGTGTGTGCGTGTGTGTATGTGTGTGTGTGTCTGTGTGTGTGTGTGTGCATATATGTTAGTTTATATATAACTGAATCACTTTGCTGTACACTTGAAACTAACACTCTAAATCAACTACATGTCAATAAAAAATAAAATTAAAAAAACAGACAACCCTAAAATCACAAAACTCAAGTGAGAGATCTAGGATTCTTAATCCAGGATTAGAACGTGGGTGACTTCTCCACAACTCCAGCTCCTTCCTGCTCCATGCTGCCTCCACTCCCCTTCCCATTACCACATTGCAAAGTCCTGGAAAGGAAGAAATATTCGGGAATCTGAAACACTATACACTTACCCTGTAACACCTTGGTTTGAAAATGTTGCTGTCTCCACTAA